AAGAAGAAAAGAACACCTACAGGAAAATAAATTGGACAGTTCTCTTTTTTTTCACTTCCATTTTAAGTATTTGTACACGTATGAAAACACCTTCATTCCTTCAATCAGTCTCTTCTATTGTTTATTTCAGGTGTGAAGTTGTAATCCTGCATTGGCAGCACCTGGAGATGATTGCCTTTTTACAAAATCAGCAACATAGAATTGTTGTGCAGAAGAAAAGAAGAATCCAATCTGGTGTGAAACAAGCTGCCTACTGCAAGAGATACAGGCCCTGAAATGAAAACTGTATGAGGTACTCGAAGTCTATGTAGTAAAATTCCAAGAAACCAAAGATAAATACAGAGAAAAAATAATTCTGTGGAAGAGGACACTTTTTACATTTTCTACATTTTTTAATGTAGAAAATAGTGTGCAAAAGAATTTCCAAATCAATTTTTTAATATATAAAGTAGATAAGTATGCATACATATATATACATATCTATGTGTACAAAAGCGTGTGAATATACTTAGCCTTCACCTCCTATAAACTGTATCCCAAATTCTATATCAGAATTACTTTAAGTTTCATTTTAGAAGAAAATACTGATTCACCTGACTGGGGAGTAAAATACAAGGAGCTGCTATAGAATTGAGTGAAGGTACAACGTAAATCAGAGAATATTTATTTCAGGCTTCCTATTGTAGGACCAGATGATAAATCAAATAAAAGGAAATTGGTGTGGTAAAATTAGAACAATACTGATTCAGCAAATACTGAAATTTCACGATATGTAGGAAGGGATCTCTTGACTAAGAGATAAATATCAGGTTTGCCAGAAAGATTAGAGGGACAGAAATTAGCAAGCGAAGCCCAGGATTCACAAAGATTGGGCTTATACCAAGTGCTGCAATGGTCTGCCTCACCTCAGGACACCATAGCTCAGTCTTCCAAGACTGCAGCTCTGAAGACAGCCCTGACCAGGCAGGGCTGATGGACAGTCTGTTCCTTAACATCAGTCTAGGTTTCTTTCCTTGGTAATTCTGAGGGTCCTTGATATGAAATTATCTAGTGTGTGCAGTAACAGAAGAAACACTGCTCCTGTACTGGTAGACAGTATTAATTAAAGACTGCTTTATGCCAAAAATAAAACATTAAAATAAAATCCCTTCTGCTGTCAAATATTGAGATGGTGTAATATAGGAGATATAGCACATGATGAACAAGAATTGAGACTGCAACAAAGTGAGGAAGTCCTCTTCAGTGAGACTTCCTCTTAGGAAAAGGTTTTGCATGTTCTAAGATAGCTAATGACAAATAACTCAAACCTTGATTTAAGAAGAAACCCACAATCATTCTCACTGAAATACCTTCTTCCCCTTTGTTGTGTTGTTCTCTGCAGGCAGAAGAGATGCCAGGCAAATATTCACTAGATCTGTAACAATACACAGAGTTTAGTTAATGTAAAGATAACTGGAACATAAAGCATGCAGTTAATGTCTCAGATTGTGGAAAGCTTTCAGGACAGGAAGATTAGCATCTGACAGCACAAAGAGTTATGATAACGAGACAGTGCCGTACAATACTGTTAGAATAGCAACTAATTTCCTGCACAAGTGATAAGATGTGAATTACGAAATTAAACAGACTGAGGAAACTACCACAAAAGGAAGATGAAATGTTTTCGAATCCCTACTTATCCCACAACACTATTTCTTCAGTTTTGTGCCAACAGCAAGCAGAATGACCACAAATGTTTTAAATAAATGACTGCAGTGATATGGACAACAACGAAAAGGGGTTGATCAATCTGCTGACAAAACAATAACACAAGAAAAATAATAAAAATTATTCAACTCATTTAAAACCTGTAATATAGTCTCAGGAGCATGCTGGAAGGTGTTATCACCAAGGTCTTACATGAAAGATAGAAATCCAATGTCTACTACGACAAAGAGGTATGGATCATACTTGTCAAATAAAGAACATGTTGAACCCCCAAAGAAAAGAAAAATGAAACTACTGTTCACAGAGAGCACTGGAAAGTGAAACACAAATCTGCAGTGCATCCACAACTGAAGTTTCATCTACCAGCCTTACAAGAGATGCACACAGGGTAATATTTCTGATCAGCAACTTCTGTAATAAATTTTAGTTAAAAAAATAACAGCAGCTTTGTTCTTTGATTTTCAAAGCTCTAGCATGCAATTATAGAAACACAGGATTCAGGTTGGAAAAGACCTTCTAGGTCATCAAGCCTGACCATCAAATCATGCCAGATTATAGCAAAAGCCAGACATTAAAAGAGTTGAGTATCATTCAAATCAAAAGCAAACCTCCTACTGCTTTCAAAGCAAGAATAATTTTACTGAGGGATTTCATAAAACATATACATTATGAAATAGTAAAATTCCTTACTGCTTAATTATTCTTATTTCTAATCTATAAGCATTCATTTGTACACATGCGCAGACACAAACAATAATAAATAACAATAAATGTAAACACACAAAAACACCCTCAATTATATTAATCCTAACCACTAGAAGTTTTGGCATCTTCATGGAGTTCACTTGGACAGTGAGCTTGAGGATTTACTTACAACTGGTGGGATTCAATCTAATCTTAATTAGAAGTGGTTAAAAATTCGCAATAGAACTAAAAAGGTGCGTCTCAAGGATGCTCTGGCAGATGAAAAGAAACAAAGAGTGTCATTAACATCAGGATTTTTAAAACTCCCATCTGTTTGCTGAGGTTTTATTGCAATGCACCTGTATTCTTGGTAATTTTTCACAGTTTCCATTTTCTACTACCAACATTGCATTTTCATGGTGGGAAAGCAAATCACCTCTTGGGAGAAGCACACATTCTCTGCTGATGATATCCAAAGTCATGCTCTGCTGCACACAGAGGTTGTGAGATTTTATTGACAAGATCAACATCTCACACTTCCATACATAATCCTTTAACTGAAAATCTAGTAAAAGGCAAAAATAAAATAACAAAGTTAATCCTGCAAGGGCAAGCTTATAGGTATTTTACTTTTGTTTCTCTTAGAATGATATAGAAACAGTAATTTCACTTTAAAAGATGTTACTAAGATTTCCACTTCAACAATTTGGTAATAAATAAATGCATTATTGTAATTAATATATTCACCCAGTCAAATTTTACTTGTTGAAGTTCAGCTTGAACCTCAGCTCTACTGAGGAGGAGGAGACAGAATGGACACAAAGTGAAGAGTATTCAGTCTAAAATAGACAGAGACTGAAAAGTGAGATGAAAGGAGGAGGGAAGATGAGAATTTTGCTCAGTTACAACATACATACCCAGTCTGAACTGTGTTATAGTTGATGTAAAGTCCCCTTTGCTGTAAATGGGCTTTGCAGTGAGCCCAGAAATAACGCAGAGTAGGTTTAAACTCCTTAGTGTCTTAGGATTCATTCTCCCCACTGTAGAACTGGGAAAAAAACTTTAAAATTTATTCTCTTTTGGAAGAGAGGAGGAACAAAAAGAGAGTGGGAAGAGCAAGGGAGAAAGAATGACTACTATAGAAAAAAAAAAAAAAAGATTCAGCAAGGTCAACTAGATTCGCAGGTAGTTCACAAACCATTCTACCACTGTAGAAATTGCAAATGAGCACATGGGCCTCAAGAATAGCTTGAAGAATTCTGAGGGCCACAATATTGATTGCTCTTTACTTTGAGCGTGTATAGGCCTTACTGAGTAGAGCCTGCATATGGACAGAAATGATTCACGAAAGAGAAAGTCACATATATTTAAAAAACCACAACATCTAGAAACTTCATATTTTAGCTCATGAACATAATTTAGTAAAATACAAAATATCACTTTTGCACATCAGAAGTTGCTCCTGCTGTTATTCACAGTACTTTTTTTTAAAGTTGGCAAACAGGTCCTTAACATCAATTAGTAATTTATCCAATTGTAAGTTACACTGACATTGCATGGACTTTAAACTATAAATCACTATAGATCCAAAATTACCTACTCAAAGCGGGCATCATCCACTTTTCTTCCTATTTGTTTTCTCTAGCAGTTGTTTCCTTACTCCTTCTTCTACTGCTCTCTGAATATATGCTTATATATAGTAGTACAGTTAAAAGAACTCACTCTACCTTTGGGAGAGACAGATCAAACAATGTTAAAAGACTTTTCAGTCATCTCTGTCCACAACAGGAGTAATCTCCCATGTCCCAGATGACAGTGACGAGAACATTGTCCAGTAATTGTAAACTGTTTGATGACAGATATTTTTCTCATGAATCACAAGAAACAAAACAAGACAAAATTCTAATGTCTGGAAAGAATAAGAGTAAACGATTAACGGAGAGAAACATCACATTTGCATGGTCATTCTATGGACAAATGTACTTCCAGTGACATTAACAGAAATCTTCTTGGCTTTACCTTCATTTGCTCAGTGTCTTCATCTTTCTGCTCAGCCCAACACTAGATGTGAAGCCAAGCTACACCAATTATCTCGCACAACAGATGCTGAGATCAGATTGCAACAGCATACCAAGACTTGGATTGTGAACGCCGTCACCTTAGCCTTGGCTTTACATATCTTACACATTCACCCAAATTCACACACAAGCATCTCAGGCATAGGATGATTTAGAATCTTTTTTCATGAAGAATCAACATTTAGCCAAGAGACAGAAAAGAGCACTTTCTCAAATTACGTTCTGTTTCTACCTGTGCTAGTGTGTTAGGTCCGCCTGGGATGGGGTTAGCTGGATTCAGTGCCCAGCTGCACTGAAATGGGACAAAAGCTTCATGCAGGTGCACCCAGAAAAAAAGGAGGAGGAAGTTTACCATCCCAGCCTCTCAGCCCTCATACCACACCTTGGTGAGGCTTCTTTGATGGGCTTGGTGAGTGCTTACTCCTTGAAGAAGGCCACAGTTGGCTGAGGAATGCAGCTCGCCATGTCACCGTTTGGATCTACCCATTTTCACCATGATTCACTTACTGAACAGCTGCCTGCTCTCTACTTTGGCATTTCACGTACTTACCTTAAAAACTTTAGTCTGCTTTCACATGCTTTTCCCAAGGCAGGTATCAGATGAGAAGCGAGGTTCATAGCTGTTGGCATCCAACGTCTCAAGATAGCTTGAACGTTTCTCCTGTGGACAGACTTTCCATGCTTCAGTTCTGCTACATCTGTTAAGCCTCACAGCCGAGCTAAAGAGAGAAGGGAAAATTTGACTTAGTCCAGGTATAATGTGGGTTGCAGCATAATAAGATCAAGTAGTCCCTAAGTAACTCCATACACACCCAGTGGGTGTTGGAAAACCACTCTCCACAGCCCATGCAAAGTAACTGGGGTGGGCCAAGGACCAGGCTGCGAGCAGAGGAGCTGCTCCCTATCATCAGGATGTGAGTCTGCTTGCCTCAGTCTCCCAGTCTCTGATGGCAGCCTAAAAGACGCGAGTGAACAGAAGACTGTTTTTTTAATCCACTGATAAATAATAACACTGCAGCTACTAGTCTCTGTGCGCTGCTTAGGAGAGAACAAGAAAATGAAAGGAGAGTCTCTGTTCTGCATGAGCAATTTACTTTTCTTCTTCCCCCTCCAGAAATCAAGCATGAGCAATAGGCATTTCAGTGTTTCCTGTATAACACGGGGAGATGAATTGCAATAATATAACAAATGTTTTATAGGAACATAAGCATTACAATTTCAGAGCTCTCCTGTGAATTGAATGGATTTCTGTAAGCTTTTGTTTAAAAACAAGTAGCGTGATTAGAGCAGAAAACAATACAAGCCCTAGATGATTTAAACATATGTCTGAAATATTAATGCTACTCCAAATTCTTCTCTCCCCCAAAAGCTTTTCATTAGCAAGCACATTTGGATCAGGAGGATTACTGTTACCTGTTTTTAGCTGTGGTTCTACTTCGAGCTGCTGTCAGCAGGAAAAGCTGATGCCCAGGACAACGTTATTACAGAAAAGAAATGCTGAGACCATAACCCGCTCACCGTAATGGCCCATTAGTACTGAAACATTACTGCTTCTGGTGGCAATTGGGCTGTACCTGCTAATTACCATGCATATGGCTGTCATGTTGGCTTTTAAGAACTGATTTAATTAATATGTAGCACTCAAGAAAGGATTGTTAGAAGAAAATTGGTAGGAGCAAATAAATCTAACAGCCTTCGTAAATATTATGTTGGTCGCTCCAAAAGTAATGCCTCCTATTTATTTCCATGGTAACTACAACAGATGCAAAAAACATAATGGCACTATTTCAGAGTGAAAATTCTCAGCTACAAAGCACTTTTTCAACACAGTTACCACCATCAGCTGTGCACTTTTACCAGTGATGAACAAGGGCCTGCATATCACTCATAAAAACCTGCATGGCCTTTTGGAATGTAGCTAGTTGTTGTTACCACTGCTGAAATGCATCACCCACCACCTCACTGTGCTCACATCCACTGCTTGATCTCCATAAACGTTCAGCACATAAACTGTTTCTCATCTACTCAGAAACAGTATGTCCTAAAGATTGACAGTTTCCAGAGGTATATAATGCAGATGAAGACTATTTATGTTTCCCAAGTACCACGATACCTTGTGGAAGGTAAAGCCAGTCAGAAGCAATAATGTTAAATACAACTTACTACAAAGATCAGAAATAAACTTCAGTTTTACTGTCTATACCTGTGAGGATTTGTAACAGAAAATAACTGCTAGAAAAGGACAGAACTGCTGATATATCACAGCTCTAGATTTGCGTTAGTTCATGCAGTGTGCTTGGTAACCATGGGTACTAAACAATTTCATCAAGACTTCAAATAATCTTGGAACTATAAATAGATTTGGAAACAAAGTAGGAGCTTACCCACAGTATACACGGGAAACACAATATTCTTTGTAATGTAATTCATTTCTGTGTGCTTCCTGAAAGAATCTTAAGGTATTTATCGTAATACCACCCCATTTTTGTGCCCTCCAATCTAGCCTGCCTACCCTTTCTGTCTTATTTTTCAATCAAACTGAGCTTGGGCAATAATGAACAGGATAGTAATCATAAGCTCTCACTCAACTGCATTCAAATTTTAGAGAAAAGAACGTAGAATAATAATGTGTACTAGCCAACACCAAGAAAAATTAACAATGTGAAAGATGCGTAGAATACTGGTTAAGAATTTGTCAAAAACTACTAATCAATAAAATAACTATTTTTCAATGCTGTAGCATTTTTCATTATTATTATTATTATTTAAACTCTGACTAACTTCAATTAAAAATAACAGCAAAAAATGCAGAAGAACTGAATATCTCCCAGAGACAAATGAGCAATACTGTACGCATCTCCCTACTCAAATTGTGCAGAGTCCAACATGCAGATAACTCAGTTAATCAGATCATCCAAGTCAAGGTAGAATCTGTTTCAAAGCAAAGCTAACAGTAAATTAGGTTTGGTGTTATTGGTTCTGAAGTAGGCTTGGAAATGTATGATATTATGGAGATCTCTGCCTCAGCAGAATAGGGCTGCTATAAGTATATATTCTGTCCACATTTCAGCATCCATTTGAGCATCAGTGGTGCCTGTACTTTGTGGTTCTGCTGGTTATGGCAATCGTCAAGTGAAAATAGAAGAAAAAGCAGCAGTGTGTTTCAGTATTCTCAGACACCTCAGAATACAAATGGTCTCACAAACCGAATTTGATTTCCAGCTTTGTAAAAGTTTCTGATGTGCTGCTTAAATTTGAGCAACTTCATGATACTTTCTGCCATCTGTCATCACTCAATCTATCAGCCTATGTATTTTCTATACGTCACCCTGCCATCCTTTTACGGATGCCTCCAACTTGATTTTAAGGAATGCTTCAGACCTGAACTAATCAGCCTAGTAGGCTTAATATTCAAACTCTGCTGAGACTCGGAGTAATAATGCAGTGGGACTTCATCTACAAGCAATAGTTGAAGTTCACATAATTTATCAAAATCACAGGGGGCTCCAAGGCTGTGGCTGGGTGAAATAACTGGCAGCAGTGCTTGCAATAAAGGCAGGGTGGAAGCACACCAAGTCCAAGTGAAGCAAATGCTCCAGCAGCTTTTCTCTGTCAAACTAATTCATGGGTGCTCAATTTTTAATGGGAACATCTTAATGAATTTTGAGCCAAATGGCTTTTTTTCTAAAGTCTAACCAGCATACGGATTTATACTTGTATAGCTGGAACTAATTATAACCTTTTTCCATGCTTTTTGGCTACCCTTATCATTGAAGTGGAAAAATACGTATGATTCAATATTAAGGCAGTGAAATGTTTTTCTCATTCTAGAAAGAAGTTTCAGTTATTAGATTTCTGATTTTAAAATAAGAATCACCAATAATCTGTGCCAGCACGGACTGGCCACATTAGCTAAACACATTAATGGTCTAAAGAGACTTTTCAGTACTTAACTGTGAGTATTTAAAAAGTTTAAATCATTGAGTGTTTAAATGTGCATGCTTATTGCTGAGAGATAGACTGAGGATGTCCCAGGGAGCACAAGAACCAAGGCACATGCTGGGGCTCAGCACATCAGCACCCAGCCCAGCCTGCACAGAACTGCCTAACCACCAAAAGCAACACACTACCGTGGGGCTGGTCTCTGCTGAGTGACACTGGAGAGAAGAGGCACTGCAAGAGCTCAGAGACAAAAGAGAGGACAGGAAGACAACTGCCATCCCACTTTGGTCGAGCATTCCCCCAAAATCTTCATACTTTCCCATATTTGCCCGTGACTGCCTTTTAGATCATTAACCACAAGCCGTTTATTTCAGGCATGATTTATGGCCTACATGATCATAAAAAGAAATCTGATGTGGACAAACATGTTAAAAACAAAGCTTTCCTTTTTCTTACTTTATTACAAAGTTATGCTTGACTTCACATTCATTACTAAGTATCCTCACAGTCAAGTCTCACATCCAACCTAATGCTGTCTGACATTCAAACTAATACAATCAGCTTCACGAGGGAAGCTTAGTATGCAGTGTTTTCACTTGTGTACCTTTCAAGCAGCAGCAAGATCATTTAGATATGAATTCAGCCACAACCAAAAATAATAAAAAAAAAGAATTAAAACATCAAAACATTAATCTGTATTGGTTTTCCAGTATTCCACAGAAAAAGATATCTGTGCCAATTACCTCAATAGATAATACTTTCCTTCAGTGAGCATTAGAATCTTAATAAAACCTTTAAGCCAGCTTTCCCTGTGAAAGGCAGTGAAACTTCATTAATTGGTATCATTTCAGATGTGGTTACCCAACAGAAATGGTTGGCTCCATGTGTTCTTCTTCTCAGAAGTGGAGCGAAGATTCATCATACAGCACAAAAATGACCAAATGTTTGGCAACTTATAAACAGAAACAAAATGGTACATAATTTATGTCTGTAAGACAGCTTTCAAGGTGAAGGACCCGTATCTACCTGCTGATAGTGGGCGTCTATGTCTGTGCAAAGAGACAGAAGCTGTATTTCATCCTTCTGTTAGGAGCTCTCTTTTTGGACACCAATTCTATCAGCTTCCATAAATGTCAGTAGGAGTTAGAAGTACAAGAGGAATTAATACTTCTTCCACTCAGGCCATTTTCTTCAGAAACTGCAATGAAATCTTTTTGTAAGTTTTAGTCAGGCTGAAATAAAGCCTAGGAATCCTTATCAGTTGCTAGACTGAAGTAAATGACTTCTCTGTTTCTCCAGTGAGATCAGATCATATGAGGATAGAAGAAGAGCAATTGCAAGAGGTACAGGACAGAAAAGGTAATTATACAAGGAAATGTGATGATTCATTTACAAAACCTAGAACTGCGTAAGGTGAAAAACAGACCACCATTATCATCACTTACACTGAAAGAACTCTACAGAAGAAAATTTACAGATAAAAGAAGAGAATATTTTAATAAGTACTTAGAATAAATACTCACTAATTACACAAATAGGAGATCGTAAATTCTTCACTACTTTTTTCTTAGTCTGCATTGCCAGTAACGTTCAAATACCACAGTTATTTCTCTATCAAGACCATATTTGGGTATCAAAACTTGTAACTTGTAAACAAGCAACACTTGTAATTTACACTATGCTCAGCATCTTTGAAGGCTTAAAGGATACTCTAGAAATCCCGTGGAAGTTCACTATGGAATACATTCCTTAACATGACCTTATCAAGCCTGGCAGCTATTGGAGACATCAAAATCTCCTTCTCCAACTGTGTTCATATGAATGCGAGTCCTGCACATACTTACGGTAGGCAATACAATTAAAGAAGTAACAGCAGTTACTTCTCTAAGAATCAGAGAACAAACGGAGCTAACACAAAACTGCAAAATGATTTCTTCTCTTAAGTCTTCTTCAGACAGACTGTTAAGTTCTGTGAGTGCTGACAGTGAGCTGTGCAGAAACTTGAGGTTTTCTGCTAAAATTCATACACAAAAAGCTTTCCAGCCAGTGCCATCCCTAGAGTTTGTTTTGTCATTCCTAAGGGACCAACACAAAAACCAACCACCGCTCTTAAAATTCCTGCTGCCTGATTAAAAGATGACTTACTTGACAGCTGAGACTGCCTCCTCTTACTATGGTTACCAAAGCTTCCTACCTGCTGAATGCAGGTTCCAGTTGGATCTGCTGAGTTCCAGTTGGGCTATTTCAAGCCACTGTTAAAGCTATTTGGCTTTTCTTCCTCTCTGCTGTTATTCAAAATGTCCCAGGACACAGCCCCTCTTTGCCTGCTGTTTATTGCAGTTGCTTTCAATCACTCCATTCTAGTCCATTATTCATAGAATCATAGAACTGCTCAGGTTGGAAAAGACCTTCAAGATCATCAAGTCCAACCACAGCATAACCATAGCACCCTAACAACCCTCAGCTACATCTTGTCCCTGAGCACCACAACCAAATGGTTTTTAAACATCCAGGGATGGTGACACAACCACCTCCCTGGGGAGCCTATTCCAGTGTTTAACAACACTTTCTGTAAAGAAGTGTTTCCTGATATCCAACTTAAACTTACCCTGGCGCAACTTGAGGCCATTTCCCCTCATCCTTTCACCTGTCACCAGTAAGAAAAGACCAGCCCTGCTCTCTCTGTAAGCACCTTTTAGTTATTGAAAGAGAGCAGTAAAGTCTCCCCTCAGCCTCCTTTTCCCCAGTCGAAACAGCCCCAGTTCCTCCAGTCTCTCCTCCTAGGCCATATTCTCTATGCCCTTCACAAGTCTTGCTGCCCTTCTTTGGACCTGCTCCAGCACCTCCATGTCCTTTCTATACTGAGGTGTCCAAAACTGAACACAGTACTCGAGGTGAGGCCTCACCAATGCCAAGCACAGGGGCAGGATGACTTCCATAGTCCTGCTCACCACTCCATTCCTGATCCAAGCCAGGATGCCATTGTCCTTCTCGACCACTTGGGCACACTGCTGGCTCATATTCAGCTGACTCTCCATCAGAACACCAAGGTCCCTTTCCGTCAGGCAGCTTTCCAGCTGCTCTTCCCCAGGCCTGTAGGGTTGCCTGGGGTTGCTGTGACAAAATGCAGGACCCGACACTTGGCCCTATTGAAACTCATACAGTTAACCCATCAATCCAGTCTATCCAGGTCCCTCTGTAGTGCCTTTCTCCCCTCAGACAGATCAACACCAGCTCCCAGCTTCATGTTGTCTGCAAAGTTACTGAGAGTGCACGCAATCCCCTCGTCAAGATTGTTAGTAAAGATGTTAAATAGAAGTAGCCCCAGTACCGAGCCCTGTGGGACATGGCTCAGGACCAGCAGCCAACTGGATTTAACTCCACTGATCACAACTCTTTGGGCCCAGCCATCCAGCCATTCAACATGCTTCGCAATTCTCACATTTAAAAAATTACTGCCATTCCCAGATATTAAATAGACATGAACATTTATTTAAAATAACCACGCTACACCTTGCAGATATTTGACTTACAGTTTCTTGGCTGTATCTCCTCTTGCTTTGTTTCTCCACAGTTCTTATGTGCCATTAAGCATCTTCTTTTGCACCCCTAAAATTAGCAACAATTATACTCAGCTTTTAAAATAAAACAAACCTTTGAATCGTGACAGGATTTAATTACATCCTTCTTATACTTATTTAATTTTAAAGTAACTGTCCTGAGGTGGGAGGCAGAATGCAGGAACAGCTGAAGAATCAATGAGTGCATGGGACATTAATTAAACTCACATTGAGGAGTCACCAAGTACCAATTTGCAAGTTGCAATGCAAGAACAAAGTAACAAAAAATAGCCGTAAGTATTCTAATATCCATACTCTCAAGAACCTATAAAATTCAGAAACTGTTTTTTTTTTAATGTTAGGTTTTCTAGAATTAAATATGTAATTCCTTTGCATATTTTCCAGATAATCTTTCAAATGTTCTAAGAACTTTCTTGAAAATAACTTTTCATCATCTCCAACTCCCATATTGTGTTGGGTTGTAAGGCTGCGTGATAAGGTGATGGAAGAGACCAGGGATACAGAATGTGCTTGGCTGCTTGAATCAGTTTCTCAGCTAAGTCACCAGAACTGTGTAAGTCATTTACTTATTTATTTATGTTTCAATCTGAGAAATGCAAAGCTTACAGCAGGGGGTATAATGAAATTCCTGCTGAAAACAAAATTGTATCAGGAATATTTTACGTAATTTTTTATTCTTTGGCTGCTGTTTTATTATTTCCTTTTAAAACAATATTTCAACTTAAAAGCTTTTAAACTAAAAACAAAAAATCCCAAATGATTTTGTATTAATGCTTTGTTTAAATTAATTAAAAGGGAAATAGCTTGATCTTAGGTTACGTTTGGCAGGACTGAAAGAATTCTAACTATCTTAGTGTAGAAACCTCAGCAGATTGACCTCAGTAGAATAGCTAGTGGTCAGCTAAGTGCTTGGAAATAGGGATAGCAAACCAGAAACCCCAATAATTTTGGAGCCTCATGTGGAATTCATCTTCACCACCAAATCAGAAATCACTGAGAACAGAAGTGTGGCAGGGAACTGCAGAACTCCTCCATTTCCAGGACAGCTGCTACCACAAGAAATTAATCTACAAGATAAACACCCAGGAAACTTTGGTTTTATGGGTTAGGGCCTTCAGGGTTCGTGGCACATAAAAACTAATGAGGTCTATGTACTGTAACAAAAGATCAGCCTCTTTTTTGCCTTCTGTTGACCAATAATACAAACAATTTTCATCAACAGAAAGCCATGGAGAAATGAACACTTGGATGTGTTTAGGAACGTATCACAGGATGTTTCAGGACCCCAGATAACCAAAATATCAAAGAAAGCAGTACTCAAGCAAACAGACCTGGGAAGCCTCTGGAGTAACAACACTGCTGCCCTTTTGCTGCGACTGAAAATCCAATCTCTATATGGCCTCACTGCATAGGCACCCCAAATCACTACGAATTCTGAAAACCTTGGCCAGATGAATTGCTGTAAGCACGTCCTTCACATGATGCACTGTTTTATTTTTGTTACAACATTAAAGCAACCCTGTCATTTCCTCTGAACAACAGATATTGTAATTTGCAAAACCAGGATGATGGGCAATGGGCATAAAAAGCCCAGCTCAAGTCAAGAGCCATTTTAGCTTCAAAGAGGGTATGATGGACTGAGCGATACAGAATTACAGAAAATCACTGTATAACAATTGTGGGAACACAATGGGATGTTTCAGGATTTCTAAACTGCAAAGGCAACAAAGTACAAGACGAAGGGAGATCATATTTAGGAAATTATGCAGCTGTTGATATGTTAAAGGAAGACTTAAAGCTGGACACTTAAAAGTGACATGGAACAATCAGCAACACTTGACAGCAGTGAAAAGAACTGGCTGGATCAAACCTCCTTTCCCAAATTATGCTATAGAATGTTGATGTAATGTTCCAAAAACAACAATGTAATGAAAACTAACCTTTTGGAACATTACAGTTGCTACTGTATCGTATTATTTATTTCACTGTCACCAAAACACAGCATTTAAGGTCACATCAGAAGCAAACTGATTTGATTTCTGTTTAAAAGGCAAATATGCAATTTTAATTCCATTTCCTTTTGCAGTGCCATTTAAACTCAGCTCTGACAGAAAGGAAATCAGACATTTGGATAAATGAGAGAGGTCGATTGAATATTGATAAGCCAATTTTTAATTTATCAAGGTTATCTGGAGGTGCTAACTTGATGCCGCATGCTAACAAGAAGTAGCAACACAAAAAGTGATGTGTGCAGAGAGCTGCTTCTTTGGGATTATAAAAATGAGAACTTTGCAATGGGGACAGAAAGCGACTTCCTGAGGGGGGAATTTAAACAGATAGGAAGTGTGACAGAGAGATGGAAATGAATAGGTGGCAAGTTTTATGCTTCACAGATTGCAACATTAAAGCCACATCAAATTGGTACAGATGAGAGAAAAAGGAGAACTATCTTTGTGGAAAGTACAGTTCACGTGTCACAAAAAAAATGCTCATGCTTCTCTTTGCCAAATTTCTGCAGCAAGCCAGGTAATCATGACAGATCTTACAGTGCATTCTCTACATTGCCAAAAATCTGCAAGGCTTGACAGCTACCCACAAAAGACAACGCCCAAACAGTTTAGAGTGAGCAACCATTATTCTTCAGTCTCAGGGATTCAGGAGAAAGCACAATACTAAAGCAGAAACAATGTTAGAGGAATAAACAAGACTGCAGAAAAAGAGCACATATTGGCTCACTGAAAAAATTTAATAAATGGCATTTTGTAGTGACAGTGGAGCAATCTCACATATTTGCACGCTTCTATTCATTACAGATAAGAAACTAGAATATTTCCTTCTGTAGATTTGTCAATAACTTAAAAGCAACATGAGACTCTCAAGTGCACATCAGTGTGGTGAGGAAAGAGCAGAAAAAGCTTTTCTTCAGGATTTTTGTTGTGAAGCTAGAAGAACTGACTGAAATCTTACGTAGGAGCTTCAGACTGAGAAAATAGAAAAGAATTTTGAAGCGTGGAAAGCTCCAGTGAAAAAGGTTCCAAGGAGACCTCATTGTGGCCTTCCAATATTTGAAGGGAGCATACAAACAGGAGGGGGAACGGCTATTTATGAATGATAGCAATAGGACAAGGAGGAATGGTTTTAAGCTGAGACAGTGGAGATTTAAGTTGGATATTAGGAGGAAGTTTTTCACACACACGGTGGTGAGGCACTGGAACAGGTTGCCCAAGGAGGTTGTGGATGCCCCATCCCTGGATGCATTCAAGGCCAGGCTGGATGTGGCTCTGGGCAGCCTGGTCTGCTGGTTGGTGACCCTGCACATATAGCAGGGGGTTGGAATCAGATGGTCATTGTGGTCCTTTTCAACCCAGGCCATTCTATGACTCTATGAAGGAAATTCTAGCTTGACAAAAAGACTTCAATGATACATTTCAGGGGTTTGAAACAGGCATTCCTTCAAATTTTTACAATCATCAAATACTCTTCAATAATTTTGTCTCAAAGTCTCAAAATACATGAGAATAATCATTTCTCAGAAGAAAATTAGCTGATAAGGTCATGCCTGCTTGGTAGTTAAACAACACAGGCGGATGACTGCAGCTGTGACCCACCTCCTAACTGGAGCAAAATGAACCTACCAAATTTGGGCACATTGCAGTATTTGTGGAGTCACAGGATAATTTCCTTTTTATGCATTTTAGCTCCTGCCCACTCACTCTGCCAGCAGTAAGCAGCATTGCTGTGGCACTTAACTCTTCTCCTGACTGATGCCAGCTGGGGCAGTCACCACAACAATGTCCCCATGCTGGCTGCTGGCAACACAGCTCTAGCCAGTGATTTTCTAATTACATCTTCTCTGGATCTACAAGACCTTGCTTTCTGCAAGCTGTACTTGCAGAAGTATTGGGCACATGGACTGAGATAGGATTTCTTCTAAGTTGAACTTGTAGCATTTCCTTTCATCAATTCCTCAAAAACTTCTTGCTAATATTCTCTCAAGATTTCAGAATTTGTAGCAGATTAATGCTGTATCTGCTTTATGTTTCAGAGTCAGACACAAAAACATTCTTACAGCACATTCCAAATAGAAATAGAAGTGAGTACAGTCAGCAGAGAAACTGTATATCTGCTCATCATAAGTATCACTGACCTCTTTTGAATGACCCATACTACTGCCTTGGTTCAATTCCTCCAAAGTCTTAGACCCTATTAATTGGAAATAGAAATCTGAGATATTAAACTGATAGTGCACAACATTTAATTTCCTTCAGACATAATTTGCACAGCTCTGAGAATCAGTCTCTGTGAATTAATGACGCATCTCCATATCTGTATGATAAAGATAGAGGGCTGTGACAACGTTTACATCTGATGCTATTAGAGTCTCTTCAATGATAATCATTAGCAAGTCCATTAATGAGAATGTATTTCCCCAAGGCACAATGGCCATTCCACATCATAATCTAAATCTATAGTCTCCAGAATCTCTATTTAGAAAGCAATGAAGTAAGTCCCTGAACTATATAGTGGTTATCACTCAAATCATCAAACTGCACGAAAAAGATGAGGGAGACTTCCTTCAACACTGGCAGTGTAGAACATTAAAATGTACAACTGCCTATTTTTCCTAACCAATAACTGTATTAGAAATGCCAGCAAAAAACTGAATGCAGCATCCCAATGGCTTTGAATAACTGAGCAACAAAAAACTCAAATTCTTAACTTAAAGTCCTATTTAAATGCAGTAACAACATGAAAAAAAACTCACCACACTGATTATTTTAAGCATCTAATGATTGACTTGCTAAAACACATTCCAGTTTGCCTGAAATCTATGAGTAAACTAAAGACTCCGCAATATGCATTTTCTTATTCAGATGAAAACATGATTCAAGAAATGGAAGATTTAATTTCGTTCCAAAATACTTAAATAAAAAGAAAAAAGAAAGCAAAGAACAAATGATCAAACAAAACAAAAATCCAGCTTTCTACCTGCTATGAAACTAATAATTCACCCTACAGCAGCTATCTAACTTGTCAGTTTCACAGCAACAAATACTGTATGTAAAAACAAACCACTGTTCAAAGTCCTAATATCTACAGAAAGAAAACAGGAGGGCATCTCTCCTCCAGCAACCTTGGAGCCAACACTGTTTCAGACCCCTGGACAACATGCTGGTACCCTTCATCAGCGTTAAACTGAAAGCTTGCCAGAGGTAGCAGAATTGAAATTCTCCTTTAAATCCATATTTTTGTTTCTTAAACCACAACAGTGCCATGTCCTCCCATTCATGGTTCTTACTAAAAGATTCTTCACAAAGGCCCAATTTCCAAGAACGTTAGTATTATGTAAAGCAAAACAATTTATGCCCAGAATATAAAGGAGATGTGTAGATTGTTGTACTGAAGCCATGGGTAGTTCTTGGAAAATGCATCTTTGTCACAACAGCCTCCGCAATCAATGCTGAACTTGTTCCACATTACTACACACCTGCCCTGACCCAGAAGGACTTCACTTTTTAAAAAATATGTATCCATTTATCTTGGAAGTATTACAGAGGATGAAAGACAGCTGGCAATAAGTTAGTTGCTTACACTGCAATACAAATGCTAACACTGCTCGTTTGATATTTTGGGGATTATCCTTTTCCGTTCCAAAATTAACCACATCCAGAAAAGTGCAGCTCCTTCATGATCATCTTAAGCAGTTGCCAAAGATGCTGACAACTTCCAACACGAAGCAATAAATTAGAAAAGAGATTCAAGAAAGGTGGTAAGTTCTCGACATAATCATCTGAAAAAATACATGGTGATGAATTTTCTGAAACACCCTGGGAAAACTGCCTCAGCAGACACAGGTATACAAACCATATTGAGTACCAACTCACAGGAAAACCTGAATTCAAAGTTCCCAGTGCAATGTTTGTTTCCCAGCAGATTCAATCACTGACAAGGCTGTTCTCTCATCCTTTGTTGCACTGGCTGAATGAGTTATACATCAACACTTCGCAAATGCAACTGAATTCAAATTCATAATAAAGGTATTTGAAATATATGCTCTTGATTTTCATTATGTATAGTGTTTCTTTTTTTATTTGTGATATGCTGAGCTTCTCTTAACAAAGCAAACACTTGGTTCTTTTTACTGACTTGCAGGAACTTCAGCAAACTGGGATCTGCAAATGTAAAAAGACATCCCTTAAGATTTCTGTGATCATCTTTACAAGATAATGTTTCTAATATTTTGCATGAGGTGCAGGATCACAGTCTTCCAACTCTTACTTCAAGCAGGGTATTAAGAGCTGTCTGCTTTTTGATCTACTATATTCTACTTGAGAGTAAACTAACACATGACTTGTTGTACTAATGAATTGTCTCCTTGAAGCTCGGCATCTTCAGCAGGAACATGATTTCCATGGTAATAAAGCAGTAGGAAGATTCCTAATTACCTTTGGACAGTTAACCTTCATTATTGTTCCAAGACTTCACTGAGTCAGTATTTCTGGATACCACTCACCACAGTCGGTGCCTCCAAAAAAGCTGACTCTGCCTGTCAAGAAAAATGCCATCGTACTGAATTTGTGATAATAACCAGAAATATACAGAGATGAAATTAATGTGTAGAAAAAAAAAAAAAAAAAAAAAAAAAAAAGCAACATCATGCAGACTAGAAGAAAGGCAAAAAGAACAAGAAAAAGAAAAAAAACAAAATCATGAGAAGGTAAAGTTAGGCAGAAAGTAGAAAAATGGGAAGGACGCTCAGAGAAAATCTTTTAACATAAATGTATGCACAACTAACACCAGTTTGCTGTACAGTGTTCCAGCTCTCTGGTCTCCTGGGGTTACTTCAGAAGTCAGGATCAGGTTCTTCAGAAAGGTTACAAAGTGAAGTTTCTATGGACAATTGCTCCCTGAACTGTACAGGTTTTAGAAGAAAAACAAAATACATGAAATGTGACTTTCTAGATGGGCCATTCTGGGTCCCCAAACACACTCATGTGGCAGTCCATTTCTGGGAGAGAAGTTGGCAGATATTAGTAGTTCACAGTCTCAAAAAAGCTTTTAATAACTTCTGTTCACTCTGTATCTGACTATAAACGAACCTTTTGTCATCTTCAAAAATGCCAACTGCACTGGGAGTACACCGAGCTTCAGAAAGGATTAGATTTAGCAAGGCTCTTGCTGAAAATATTACTTTTACAGTCTCAAATATCATCTCATCTAAACACCCGCAAGTCTCTGCTATGACAGAGTCAACACCGACTGGATCACTTAATCACCAGCCACCAAGTCTTCCTGATTTTCTGGTCTTTTCCTCGTACGTTTTACTTTCTGGTGTCTGTAACAGCTTTCTTGGAAGGTAATGTTCCTTGGGAAATTTAAAGTCTTTTCAGTGAAATGATTAACTGGCTTTATGAAAAGTAAAAAAAAAAAAAAAAAGGCTGTAAATATATTCAGAGAAGCAGAAGGGAGGATTTTACTTACTGGTTTCAATGTAAATAATGCAGTGTGAGATATGCAGAATAATACATCTAAACTACTTTTACATTTTGGAAAAAAAAGGGTTTCCAAGATCTTCAGAGATGAGAACTAATTAATTTTTCCATGTGCTCATTTAAGCTCTTTATACAATATCATGTCTAGAATTACTACAGACTTGAATTTCACCCTAGCAACCAATTGCAGCTCCATGATAACTTCCTAAGCAGTCCAGGTAGTTCTGTATCTTTTGCAATAACAATTACCATGTGGCATAATTGCAAGGGACAGTTTGGTCATAGGGAGAATATACTCTCATAGTATTTCACGTGTGAGTCATCCCAGAACAGAAATACAGTAATAAAACTTAGCTGATCATAAACTTCAAGTGTTGCAGCCAATAAAGTCAAAGAGCAAACATATTTCCCACATATGTGTCACAAGTTTCTTCTGCTAAATTATGCAGCACCTGGTAAATACTGTTAATTCACTTGTACCTAAGTTAATTACAGATTCCAGCAAGCAATCAGATATGATTAAATTACATTTTGGGAAACTATCAAATGGTTAAGGCTGAAGGAAAACAGCTTAAAATAGACTGTAGAACGTAATACTAATTAGGAAAACTCTTAATTCTACTTATTTCTCAGCTTTGGAGGTTTTTTCTGCTTTGGGAACAGGTTTTCCTCTCTGAGCACCATGCGAAAACCAGCTGTAATCTCTGCAGGGACTACCCAGGTAAACTGGAAGCAGCATTTGACCTCCCTGGGGAATTTCATTTGGCCTCCTTTATATTACAAGAAGTATTCTAAAAACAAGAAATAAAGGCTTGATAAACAACATCCATCTGTAGGTGAATTTTGACAACTGGCCCAGATGCTGGGGGGTATTCACACAATAGCTTTCTTCTCTATAAAGGCACTTAAGTTGGGGACTATTGGAATACTTTGCAAAAAAGAGGTGGAAGAAAACAGCTAAGCAAGTAGAATTGCTTCAGGAGGGATAATAAGTAGGAAAAGGAAGGAGACGGGAGGTCAGGAACTCTCTGAGGTCATCTGAGACTCTGTTTCCAATAATGTAATATGCAGAATGGTTAATATCACTCAGAATTTAAATGATCTCAAATCTGTCTCTGACATCTCCTCTCGACCAGGCCTATTTTCCATTTTGATTGAAGTTACCTGTTCCTCCCTAACTTCCCTAACGCTCCTCTCTTCCTCACCTATTCTTGGAAACATCAGATTTCCATTTTTGTCACTGCACTGAAACATGCCTCCCTCAGTAACCTCAGCACACCAGCCTTCCTTCTGTCTCCTGCTTCCACTTCTAATCATACTAGAGGCTCGAATTAATCACTAAGCTAAAAAATTGCCATAGTTTTCAAATACAAACTTAGCACACAGAAACACAGAAAAGCCTATCCCGACCTCAATTACATGGATCTTCTTCCTCTGCTGTACCTACAGCATCAGGAAACTGCCTGACTCTATATCACTGAGTAACAAATGTGTTTTAAAGTCACTAATGATAGCAAAGGGTAACTTTGGACACCCAAGTATAGCCATGCTGTAACAACCGTCATTAGCAATGAGTGCCACATTTTTCCTGTTTGACTCATTAGGTCATTGCCCAAAGACACGAGGTATGTGCCTTGGGCAGAGATATATCTCAGCTGTTAATCAGGATCTATCTAAGACTATATGATCTTCCACTCTCTGGTAACTGCCAAGAAAACAAAATGTATAATTAACAACCGGACAAATGTGTTTTATGATTAAGACTGCAGCCTAGATGGTGAAAGCTGAACACTTCCAGCAACAGTGAAGTCTGTGTTTTATTTTTAATAATGTACTGGTAACAGGTTTTCCATTTTTCTCAGAATAACAGAATAAAACTATTTTACCATGCCAATACTTTATCTTGAATGAGAGTACTTAGTGTTTAACAAATAGAGCTGATAAATATTTAAAGAAAGGATACTGAAAATCTCTGGTTTTAAGAGCTCTGGATACAGCTCCAGCATTTGGAAAGAAGCAGCAACCAACCCATGTACTCAGCAGTATATTTTCCCACATGTAGCATATTATTTGTTCATCAATTTTGTATTGTGGAGCCCCAGAGTGGTGTATTTCTGAGGAAGACAGAAAGGGCAAAGTGTGGGTGGATAGACATGAAGTGCCTGTACATACCAGACTGCCTGGTTAGAAAAGGGGAATTACTCACAAATGGGACTTCTAAGACAAGTGTTAGGCAAAACTTTGCCTCCTAATTCTTTGAAAATTAGATAGATGGCCTCTACTCCACTGCAGATGGAACCAGCAAAGTAGCAAATTAAAACTTCATTTTTCTTTTCCTTTTCAGTATTTTTTTTTCCCCCTTGACTTATGCAACGCTGGCAGAAGGCTTAATCTTGCAAGATACAACTTCACTAGTGAACTTCAGTGTGACAGATCATGTGAAAAAGGACTGCTGCCAGTTCATTTAGCAAGATCAGTTCCTTCACATAATTGATACGCTGGAGGGAGATGCAGAGGAGCTCCCACAGGCCCCTTATGAAAATTAATCCATCAGATTGAGGGAAGAATGGATGGTCTCCCTTCCCTAGGTGGAATCAAATCCCTTCAGACGCCCTCGAATCTTTTCAGTAAGAATTATTTGTAAGCCCCAGGGATATAAAAGTATACCTTAAGATCTTCCTTTTTCTTCCTTGTCAGTGGACTGGTAACATAAAAATGTCAATATTCATAAACAAATTACCAGCTAAGAAAAAAATTGATGCCCAGAGAAGTATCTTGGAGAAATGTTTAACAAGTAACACATATTTCGACGCTAATAAGGAGTTTCCCACCTTTAATTTCAACTTTTATTTTTTAAGCAAACTCATACATTGAAATATACATTTGTATATTGAAATATACATTTATATATTGATAGACTGAAATGAGCTAGTACTCTTTCTATAGAGTACATATAAAATACACATACACCCACACACTCAAAAACCTTACACACATGCAGAGACACAACTCAATAGAGGGTCTCTCACACTGGAGTGAAACAATATACGTTTGTGCCTACTGCTCCTGTCCCCATCTCCATCTTTTTCTTAGAGATCTCCACCTCGTACTAGATTTGCTCTCAATCTCCCCTCTTGCAAACAAATTCCACCTACAAGATGCTTCAGAACAACTTTCCTGCCAAAAAAATTACGTCTGCAGCTCTTCCTTATCATCTCCCCTTCGCTATCTGAAGCATTTTCATTTGACCCACTGACTGAACAGTCACTAAACTCTTTGGGCTTTGAAAGGTGTCCCATTTACAACCTCAGAAACATATCTTTAGAAAAATTAACAGACAATCGGACTGAACAGAACAGTAAAAGCTGCAGTAGTGTAAGGGCAAGACCACCATCACCACAGGGAAATGGATCAAATTAACAGTTCGTTCCTTTTGAGCTATGAAATCAGATTTTAAATGACCTCTCTTTCTTTCAAATACCACTGGTTAGTCCACCTTCATAAGAACAATAGCACACATAGAATCATAGAATGGCCTGGATTGAAAAGGGCCTCAAAGATTACCCAGTTTCAACCCCCTGCTGTGGGCAGGATCACCAACCACCAACCAGGCTGCCCAGAGCCACAACCAGCCTGAATAGATGGAAGGTTTAAACTCGTGTACAACTCTCTTGTTTTGAAAGAAATTAACACGTTTTTTTGAAGGTTGCTATACATCTGTGTATTATGTAATTTGACTTTGATTTCCTCCAGAAATAGTACTTGCTGTCAGTTTACACCCACTGAACAATTTACAAATTCAAAGAGAAACAGCCTGGGAACGTTGCAGCTGCCCTACAGACTGGCCTGTGTGCTACGTGTGCCCCTCCCTCTCACTAACAACTCAGCCACAGAAAAGTTACCATACTGCAAGGCAGAAATTATGGAAAATGAAGGCATTATCAAAAAAAAAAAAAAAAAACAACCCTCCTACTCTTTTAATGGGACTGATGCTACCAGATGCTTCTTACTCTGCAG